TGGAGCTGAGGGTATGAACCCTGACTATACGTGTTATGTGTTTGGTGTTGAGGTGACGCACATGCTAGGTGACGGGCAGGTGGGTGTACACCGTGTGAACTGTGACTGTTATTTTTGTGGTACTGTGTAGTTACCTGAACTTATCTGTAATCACAAAATCTCTACGTACTAGAGTTATCGAGCTATGATTCATGTTAGAAATCATGTCTAGACTATATGATTATCCTGTTTGGACCCACTGAGGTCATTATTGCTGTTGAGTTATTTGCTTATATTGCAATTTCATACTCAGTCATGTCCATTCATTGCATATCATATCCCAGTCTCTGTTGTTATTTATTGATACATTATATCATCATTTTGGGCTAGTTTTATGATATTGTGAGCACGAGAAACTGCATAGATTGATGACTGAGCGAGGCCGAGGGCCTGATTTTGAGATATTGATACTATAGTATGTGAGTTGTTCGTGCAACACGTGAGTTGTCCGTGCAGATCCAGATATTTGTACTATGGCACGTGAGTTGTCCGTGCTGATCCAGATATTTATACTATGGCACGTGAGTTGTCCGTGCAACACGTGAGTTGTCCGTGCGGATCTAGATATTTATACTATAGTACATGAGTTGTCCGTGCAGCACATGAGTTGTCCGTACAGTTTATAGCGCTTGGGCTGAAGGAACCCCTCTGGAGTCTATACACACCCCCAGTGAGCACAGGTACCTACCGAGTGCGAGTGCCGAGCGATTGGGAGGATTGAGTGACTGTGAGGACTGAGTGACTGGGAGGACTGAGTGACTAGGAGGACTGAGTGAAATAATACTCTGAGAGTATGCATATGGTTTTATTACTGAGTTGCATCGCATTGACATGCACACTTGACATACATGTATAGAGATGCATTTTTCCTCATGTTGTACTATATTGCATCATTCGTGACTTCTCCTATATATTGACATGTAGGCATAGAGATATATTTTCATGTTATTTAAAAAATGAAACAATTACTTGTTGAAAGTTTTGGGACAAATCACAGTTTTCAAACTTACTCATAAATTGGTGATTTCGGTAAAGGATTTGGGTTTTCACTGATATATTTGAAAAGCAGGACTATTTTTTTCTTGGAACTGTGAATGAGCTGAGTATTCTATCTCTGAACTACTTTTTTTTTATTACTTCTATTATGTTGATGTGAACTGTTGTTGGCTATTGGTGTTGGACCCTGACCTTTGTCCCAGCTCGTCACTACTTTCAATTTAAGGTTAGGTTTGTTACTTATTGAGTACATGGGGTATGTTGTACTCATAATATACTTCTGCACCTTGCGTGCAGATATTGGATGTTGATGTTGCTGTGATCGACGGGAGATGGATTTGAAGATGTACCTATATTTCGGTCGTAGCTTCCTCTTATTTATGGTAGCCTTAGATTTATAAAAATCGGTTTATGTACATTTCGAACAGATGATATATTTATTTCATACCAACTTTGTAAATTCAAATCTTAGAAGCATATGATTTGTACTACCAGTCCTTGGGGAGTGTATTATAGTCAGTTAAATGTTAATTGAATCAGATTGTTGTTATTTGGCTTATCTAGCAGGTGAGGTTAGGTGCCATCACGGCTAGTTGGATTTTGGGTCGTGACATATTACCATTGGAGTTGATAACCATGTGTTCTAAAAGAACCAAATCATCTTTCATTGGATGCTCTTCTTCGTTTCCGACACGAAGCAAGAAGTCACTGAATGTTGGATTTGTTCTTACTTTTATATTTCTTGTCATTTGAATATTTTTCATTTGAGGTCATAACTATAATTTTGGCAAGCTAACTTTTATAGTTTCTACTTTGGACAATTTTGGAACTATTGATCGTACTTGACAGAAATCACGTCCCAAACTATTACTTTTCCACCAAACGATTCATCGATATCCAATATATCTCTAAAACTCTAGGCGATTAGTCAAAAACGCTTCATCCCATATTTTCATTTTTGCTTTCCTTATAAATTTAGCACTATTGCTCTGCTTTGATATATTTTGTGATGGTTATTTCAGTTATTTGAAGAGGTATATCAAATCTAAAGTGAGTAGTATGACCTCATAATAAAATTGTTGCTAGTACACCACTTGATCTTATTGCTAACAATATCATGCCTCTTACTCTGACATTTGCAAGAAATGCATGACATAGGAATATTATTTCGATTTCGCTGGAGGCATCTACAAAGGATAATCCCACTATACCAGAGTTGATTTTTTATAATATAGTCTTGAAAGCTTATTCTTGTCTAGGATTTAGCTTTGATTGTGCTTCCCTAAACACTTGTATGGCCTTCTTAATATTATACTAATCTTTTTTACTTTGTGATCTATTTTTTTTTAATCTCTAACACTCTTTTTATGGAATAAATTCATGTACCCTAAGATTTTTTTTAACTTGAAAAATAGTTTTACTCATATGATGAATTTAAAAATAATTTAATTGGATTATCTTGCTAAATAATTAATTGAAAGATTTGATTATTTGGTTTTAACATAAAATATAATTTATTTTCTGTTGATTTAGATTCTTAATATTAGTTCATCTCATGTTTGAATATTTAACCGTAATTATAATTTTATCTAGCACAAATTTTATCGATCTGACATTCTACTTTTAAATCTCTATGTTTGCAAAATCATTATTGGTATTGACTCTTACCAACCTTTTTCTTTCTTTTCTCACACATTTAAATTCTTAAAATTTTTCTTATTTGTTCTTTAATAATTAGGTATATTTTTCTATATTACACAAAAAATTAATAATAAAAAAATATTATTTTAGTAGGAAAGCAGTTCAAATATAATATAATATAATAATATATTATCATGGGGATTTTGTTTTCTCAATTTCAACGCTTTATGCAGTCCGATTAGCATTACTTTTTTTTGGTATTGAATATTATAGAGTGGTATAGTATTACCAATATGGAGGATTCTTATGAAATTGATTTTATTAAACCTTCCTACATATTTTTAATAAGAATTCAATAGACAAGATTGTATTAATTTTAAAATATTAAATATTAAAAAAATTAACATAAAAGTTATTGTAGTCCAAAAAAATAAGTTATTACAGCTTTGTCCTTTCCCTATGAGTTCTTCTGTTTAATATTTTAGGGCTATTTTGGTCTATCAATATTATATTCATGTTTTTATAATAATATAGGCTCTCATGTTTCTAAATGGATTTGGACAATATAATACGTTTTTAAATTAAATTAGTAATAGAAATTTTTTAAGAAGTATATCCTAAAAGTAATTGGATTAGATGGTTAAAAATATACCCATATACCGAAAGTAATTATACTAATAGAAAATCTAGCATGTTTCTAAAGGTATTAGGTTTACATGCTAACATGTAGTATTATATATCTATGCCCGAAAATAATAATTATACTAATAGGATTCCGAAAGGTAATCATGTAGGATTCCTAACGTGTAGTATTATGTTCCAAAACTAATAGGATTATAAGGCTAATGTCTAGAATTCCGATTATGTCCTTTTACTGTGAGTTATTATGCTTAATATTAAAAGGTTATTTTTGTAATCCAATATTTTATTCATACTTTTATAATAATATAGATAGATAGATATAGATAAAGATATATAATATAAATATAGATGATACATTTTTTTTCATTTTTAGATGTACAACTTTGTTTGACACTATTTTGTTTCGGCATAACTTTCACAACATTTAAGAATTCAAACTAATTATACTTTTTAAAATTTTAAACTTTGACGTGATAATTTCTGGGTAGTATATGGATGGTAAGAATACACGCGAGAGCACATGTACTAACATAACATGAGGTTAAACTTTGTTATTAGGTTAAAGGCTTAAAGCCATTAGGGGATGCCTTGATTGATAAGTAATTATGGTTGGAGACTTAGCTAGAGACTGAATGCTACTGGTTAACGTTCCTCTTTTCCTCTTAGCCACAAAATTTTCCAATTCTTTTTTTTCTTTTCATGCAAATTTTTCCATTTCTGGCTAATCATGATAGTCAATCCCTTTCGTTACTTGGGATTACTTTGAGTATATTAATTTTCACTCAAACTACAGATTTTCAGTTGCCACTTATGACATTGAAATAGACTTGTTTAGTCGCTCTAATAATAATTCACAAACTGATCATTCAAGTTTTTCTATATTCGAATTAACCTGTTTGAGAGTTTTCTTGATTCTTGGCCAATCTCCAAACCATACATGCACGACTTATTTTAGTAAACTTCTGTATTTTTCTTTGTCATATAATTTCATTTCTCAAAACTTAAACAGTTAGTATATGGGGTCACAGGAACTTGAATTAGGTTAGCCTCCTCTTACATTTACCCGAAAAAGAAAGTAATAAATCCAAGTAACTTAGCAAAGGGATCCTATTTTTCCCAAGTGTGTTGTTTAATTTTATTATATTTTTCCTAACAACCTAGAATTCACACAAAGGTTCGAACAATTTTAAGCCAAAGTGTATTTTAATTCACGCGAAATTAATATAAACCAAAAAAGAAAGAAAGTAACGAGCCTTAAATATTTTCTGGAGTTTCATAAAATGAATAAGAAAACTCGCACATATGAGCAGTATATATGGAAATACAGAAACTTTACTGGATATTTAACCGTAATCAATATGATTAAGAAAATAATCAGAATTTAAAATTACTCAAAAGTTTGGTTGGACCAACAGCCTAATTATATTAAGCAGGTCAGTATGAGTGATAATCACCTCCTATAAGTAACCTTTTGACCAAACCCTTACATACATTATATATAAACGCTCTTCCCATTTCACTTGCATCTTCATCACCATCCAAAAGAGTTCAGATTTCAACACATTAAATCCTCACCAAGAAAAACAAAATCAAAATATTTGAAGATGGTGTCATTTTTTCTGAAGAGTTCTTTGTTTTTACTTATTATAACTTTCTGGGCATTAGCTGATCATAAGCTAGCACTTGCAAAGCATGCAGGCCGAATGACCAGACAATACAAGTTTAATGTACATAATAGTGCCCTATCACTTTTCATATTCTTTATATTTTGTTGTTTATTTTTATTTTATTTTATTTTACACTTCATATGTTACTACAGATTCAAATGAAAAATGTTACAAGATTGTGTCAAACAAAGAGTATTGTGACAGTCAATGGCCAGTTACCAGGACCTACAATCACTACTAGGGAAGGAGACAGACTTCTCATCAAAGTTGTTAATCATGTTCAGTACAATATCTCTATTCACTGGTATGTAACAAACTCTTAGCATTAATATTCATGAGAAGTTAATTTTGACTATTACACTATCAGTGTGATTTACAGGTCACGGGTTTGAGCCGTGGAAGCAGTCACTAATGCTTGCATTAGGATAGACTGTCTACATCACACCTCTTGGGGTCAGAAACAGACCTATGTGTTATAGTGGGGGGTCACCGGACCCTGTAAGCTTTGACAGAAATCTTGTATATGTATATGTGTATACCTTGAAAATAGTTAATTTAAAGCGCTTGGTACCCTGAGTACTAAAAGCCTTTAGGGTGCACTGATTGAGCAGAATACTGTGCTCCCGTCGCGTAAGATCATGGGTCCGCCTCTGCTTGGGGTGCGGCCTTTCCCTGGACCCTAGGTGAACGTGGGATGCATTGTGCACTGTACTGTTTTTTTACGCTGTCAGTGTACATTGTTTGATATGTTGTACAAGTAATTGTGTAATTATCATATAATATGTGAAATGCATGACAGGCATGGAGTGAGACAACTAAGAAGCGCATGGGCAGATGGACCAGCTTATATTACACAATGCCCTATCCAAACGGGCCAAAACTATGTATACAATTTCACTATTACTGGGCAAAGGGGAACATTGTTTTGGCATGCTCACATCTCATGGCTGAGAGTTACAGTCTATGGAGCTATTGTTATCCTTCCCAAGAAAGGCGTCGCTTATCCTTTTCCTCAACCCTTTAAAGAAGTTCCTATCATTTTTGGTACACAACTTGATTTTATATATATATTTGTGTTGCTCAAACTCTCCAAAACTATTGTCGTATCTGTATCAGATCTTTCAAAAGAACCAAACTAATTTTGGTGGAACTCATGACACGCACAATACTTTTGAAGAGTCAGGACAACATAGATCTATATATTTTCATGATTAGCTTATTGTTAGGATAGTAAAATTTTATGTGTCTTCCTTGTGTTTGGATTATAGGTGAATGGTGGAATGACGATACAGAAACAAATATCAATCAAGCCCTCCAAACTGGTGGAGCTCCAAATATTTCGGATGCTCATACTATCAACGGTCTTCCTGGACTTTTCTACAATTGCTCCACTAAAAGTAAATAAAAATAGTACTCTGTCTTGTTTAACTTTAATTAATTATATGACATTGTCATAAGTGGAGCCAAGATTTGAAACTTATGGGTTCTAAATTTATTACGGATTCATAACTCGTCTTAGTTGCTGGGTTCGTAATTAAATATTTATACATATTTAATTAATTTTCTTGTACAAATTCAGTACCGTTTAAGCAAAAGTGACTAAGTTCGGCCGAACGCGCACCTTATAGGCTAGCTCCGCCTCTGAACATTGTTACTATTCGAGGATTTATTTGACCATAATATTGTACATATTTTCAAAATATACTTAAAAAGGGCACCTAATGCACAAGGCATTCCGTGTTCACACGGGTCTGAGGGAAGGCCGCACCACAAGAGGTGTGGATGTAAACAGCCTACGCTAATACAAGCATTAATGACTGTTTGTACTGCTTGAACCCGTGACCTATAGGTCACCACGGAGACAATTTTACCGTTGCTCCAAGGTTCCCTTCATTTTCTAAATATGTCTAATTATATTTAAAAAGTTGGAATTATTATACATACCATTTATCTTGTTTCTAGTTGTAATAATGTAATCTCTTCGCGTGACCATCACTTGGTCTGATTTTTAGCTGCATGAAAAAGTAACTCAGATTTTCATGTTGCAGATACATTCAGATTGAAAGTGAAACCTGGGAAAACATATCTATTGAGATTAATCAATGCTGCACTCGATGATGAGCTATTCTTCAGTATAGCTAACCACACCCTTACTGTTGTAGAAGTTGATGCAGTTTATATAAAACCATTTAAGACAAATATAATTTTAATAACTCCAGGACAAACTACAAATCTCCTACTAAAAACCATGACTCACCACCCTAACGCCACCTTTCTCATGGCGGCGCGGCCTTACTCCTCCGGTCCCGCCGCCTTCGACAATACAACAACCACCGCAATCTTGGAATATGAAAATCAACCCTCCACCAAAAAAAGTAACAAATTTCCTGTATTAAGACCTACACTCCCTATTTTCAATGACACAAATTTTGTTACAAATTTTAGCAAGAAAATCAAAAGTCTAGCAAATGCAAAATTCCCAGCTAATGTTCCAAAAAATATTGATAGTCGATTTTTTTTCACTGTTGGACTAGGATTACATCCATGTCCTCAGAACCAAACATGTCAAGGACCAAATAATACGAAATTTGCAGCATCTATTAATAATGTCTCCTTTGTTCAGCCAAATATAGCATTACTTCAAGCTCACTTTTTCAACCAATCAAATGGTGTTTATACTACTGATTTTCCAGCCAACCCAACATTCAAATTTAATTACACAGGCAACCCACCAACCAATATATTTGTGACAAGTGGCACAAAAGTTGTAGTGCTTTCTTATAATACTAGAGTGGAGTTGGTTTTACAAGACACTAGTATTCTTGGTGCTGAAAGTCACCCTCTTCATCTTCATGGGTTCAATTTCTTTGTTGTTGGTCAAGGATTTGGAAATTACAATCCTAGTCAAGATCCTGTTAATTTCAACCTCGTTGACCCTGCTGAAAGGAACACTGTTGGTGTGCCAGCTGGTGGCTGGGTCGCCATTCGCTTCCTTGCCGACAATCCAGGTACCTTTTTTAATTCTTAATTACGCTATTCTGATGAATAGTTGTTAATTCTAGTCAAGATCCTGTTAATTCTTAATTGTGCTATTCTGATCAGTAGTTGTTTTAATTTTCTTTTATGTGGTTTCCTCATCAAGAAAAAGAAAAGAAAAAAACATTTCTAAGTAGAAAAAGACTCGCCGAAAGATAGAATTCTTTACATAAAATAAGTAAAGTCAGGATGTTATATTTGGATTCCAATTCCGCGAGGCATCGATCACACGCCCTAGCATAGCCTTTCCCGCAGGAACATCCACAATAAATCCAATGCGCTTGACATGTTTGTGTACAAATTATATTGCATCGTCCATATATAAAACTTAAAAGCTAAACTCATTTTTCATGAACTAACTAGAATGTTGGTCCTCTACACGTGAAATTTTTAAAAGAAGAGGAAGAAGAAATTAGTTAAATTTTTTATGTGAAATTTGAATGTCTTATATATAGGAGTGTGGTTTATGCATTGTCACCTTGAAGTTCACACAAGCTGGGGATTGAAAATGGCTTGGATTGTAATGGATGGAAAAGGCCGCAAACAGAAGCTTCCTCCTCCACCTGCTGATCTTCCTAAGTGTTAATCCTCTTTAATTTGTTTTCTTCATTAATTTTTCGTGTTTTTCTTACATTGTATAATTTATTAATATTGCTAAGAGCGTCTAATGTTCTTTGAATTTCTGATTATGCCCCTTCGCTTGTAATGAAATTCAAAGTGAGGAGTCCTTTGCCACAAGTTTTGCAAAAATAAAAGAAATAATCAGTGAATCTTTTACTTCAAACAATTTGTTCCTTTCCACTGCTTGCTCCTCTTGCTTGGTCTTATGAGGTCATCACTCGACAACCACGAATTGCAAATTGAACGAATTAGATATGTTTACCCTTAAAAACGGATAACAATTGAATTTATATATGGTTTTAAGGATACGTGGATTAATTCAATACAAGTGATTAATGACGTTAAATTAAGCAAATGAAAGACGTAATAAATAGCCAAACCAATGATAAGAATGATCCCGGGCTCGGTTAATAGCTCAATGAGGAACCTGCCTTCGATTCCGAGCTAGCACTTGTGAAGAACTTTAGAACAAAAATAAGAACTTTGAATAACAAAGAGAATTAAAGTAAATTGCCTTGACATACGTGTTACAATGTGTCTAATGAATAATAAGCCTCCCCTTTATATAGTAGGAGAGTTTTACCCTAAGTACAATCCTAAGAAAGGTAAAAATCTTTCATTTTGCTAATCACTGATTTTCTGCCGATACGAGCCGAGATTCACGTCGTGATATCAAGTTAGGCACGGACATCACGGCCCTTTGTTAGTCGTGTGCGGTTATCTGGTAATGCTCTTCGAAGTCTTGAGGCTTGAACCAGTCTCGGGGAACGTGGTCCCGATGCCCCCGAGGGCAGGTGTTTTGCTCGAGCCCCGATACGAGAGGATCCTCGCCCTGATTCTGATTCCTTATGGTCACGTCCCTGCTTTGTTTTCCTCACCGGGAACCCAGAAAGCTTAGTGGGTTCGATTTTACCTATATACAGATAGTCCCCTCGTTTCTCAAAGAGTAGGCTTGCCAAAACGATGAGAAACGACAGATGACTCTGGTTCCTTCCTCTGTACGTTACAATGAGGGAGCCGAAACGTCCCGTTAGTCGCGTCGTTCTGACTTCATACACGTATTGCTCATCCGAAGGTTGGCCCCAAATGTGAAGCATCGGTTGTTTCCCTATAAAATCTTCCTCCCTTTGTCCTTTTTCTACTTTTTGACTAAATCACTACCTTCGAGCTTTCCATCCATCATCAAACCTTCATATCTTCATCCTTGTTCTTCGGTTTCCATAGTAATCTCCAGATTTCTGCCCAAATTTTCTTCAAATCTTCATATTCTGTTCTTCATCTTCAAAACCCATTTTTTTAAAACTTTGCATTCTTTCCTCAAATTTTCAAACACCCCCCAGATGACAATGGCCAAAATATCGAAAACCGTTCCTCAAGAAGTTGCCTCTTCATCTTCTCAATCGGCCATTGGTACTGAAGCGGTTGCCCCTGAAGTGGTCGCCCTCGAAACGGCTTCCCCTATTGTGGTTGCTAACGAACAGGCCAATGAGCCTCCCTTGATAGCGTTCATCCCCGGGGCCAGTTCAATTGCAGATGACTTTAAAGTCGAGAAGCCTTAGCGCAAACAGGACCGGGTGAAGGAGTCTCGAGATACATATGTTTCGTGATTGTAGATATTCTTCCCATAGTTCGTAAGGACTGTAATTTGGAAGGCAAGAACGTAGTAGTCCCCGGGCCCGAGGACGTTGTTACTACCCATATGGAGGGGTACTTAAGTGTTTACACTTATCCCTTCATACTGGGCCCGATGGACCCGATCGTTCTAGACTTTAGCAAGAGGTACGAGATGTGCCTCGGGCAAATCCATCCATCATTATGGAGGATCGTGACCCTCCTCCGCTATTTCGTGAATAAGACCGAGTCTCGTCGATTCACGATCGACCACCTGCTCCGATTATACAGTCCCTGAATGTTCCGAGGGGGACTAATCAAGCTTACTCGCCAGGACAGTAAGGCCTCCTTTTTGAGTATCGACGAAGATCGAGACCGGGGTTGGTAGGGACACTTTGTCCAAATGAAAACTGAGGATCTGATCCCCTCCCCTGAATACATGCCATTCCCTGAGAAGTGGAATGCGTCTCGTAAGTGCAATCTCTCTTCAAACATCAAAATTCTTTTTCTTCTATTCCTATCTTCTCATTCATGCTTATGGTTGTACAACTGTTGCTCGGGTTCCGAATGCGATTCCCTAGTTAAAGGAATGGATCGAGGGAATTTGTACTTAGGTGTCGTACTTTGAGCGCATATGGAGAGGACTTTCGAAGGGCCGATGGGCGGCTCGTTCTCATGGTAAGGCCTCTTTTTGAGTAGCCAATACTACGTTTCTACCTTTCATTATACTAACTCTTCTTCCCTTTTTGTTATTGCAGGTTTTCCTAAGACCGCCGAACTTAGGACTTCAGAAGGGGATGAGGATATGTCCCCGTCCGTTGATCCCTCCGCTGCTTCCACAGAGGGAAAAAAGAAGAAGAAGAGAAAACCCTCGGGCTCCCCGGGCTCTAAGGTGAAGAAACCAAAAAAACGGGTGCTCTGCAAGCCCAGGAAGGGCTCCAGTTCCCGGGTGTTGGACTCCGACTCCCTTTTCCGGCTTAGGGACGAGCCGGAGAATGAATCTATTTTTTTTACCCATGGGACGACCTATCCTGGGGACTCAGATGCATCCGAGGGGGAGACTCGTGAGATCGACCACTCTCAAACTCAAAAGACCGACATGGATACCCGGGGTAAAACTTCCCAGGATGCCAGTTTCTCTCCAAAAGAAGGGTCCAGTGTAATTGAGATCTCGAGGATGCCCTCTTACACTGAGTCTATGCTTTAGGAGTCCCAAGAGAGAAAGGAAATGTCCAACGAGGGGTCCAAGGTGCGGAAGATCCCCTTCACTTCTTTTTCGATAGTGTGGACTCGTTTGCTTTGGAAGACTTCTCCGGGCTGGGCGACCAGGAAGTTCCGAAGAAAGACACTTCCTCATAAGCTGGAGGGCCGAGCTCGAGCCCAAAATTGATCAATCAGTTCCCCGCTCTGAGTGTGGACCCCGGTCGTAAGAGATCGATTATACTGAAAGTCCCGGAAGATGCTCGGGTTTTGTCTGCTCCTGTGGGGGTAGATAGCTACCTCCGATGCCTGGTGACCAAGGAGGACCAGGAAAAATGAATGAGGTGAACGTGCCATGCCTTTTCAATGAGGCACAACATGCACTGAACTGGGTAGGACATGGCTTCCTTCCATCTATCTATTGTTATCTATGTTTGATGTTTCTCACGTTGTTTGCCCTTTTGCAAGCCTCGGTACTTCACCATGAGAGTTTCCTTCAGTACCGGGTTGAGGTCAATCAACACGAGCTCGAGATCAAGGAGCTTGCCCAAAAAAGGGACATGTACAAGCTTCTTAGCGAGCAGCAAGAGAGGGTCGCCAAGAACCTTCAGGCCGAGCTGGAAGCAGCTCAGAAAAAAAGCATCGGCCTTAAGGTAGGAGCACGCCGACTTAGTGGAAAAGGTAAAGGTTTTTGAAGTTATAATAAAAGGTCCAGTCGTAGAGGCTAACAACTATACTTCACAGATCCAGCAGAAGATCAACCAGATCAACCAACTCCGCAAGAAGATGGACGAGATCCAAGTAATGGACGGTGGGTGGAAAAACAAGATGGACTTGCTGGCCTCGGAGAAGGAGAACGCACAGGCCAAGCTATCTTCGGTGGAAATTTAGCTTTGGGTGGTGAAGGAAAAGGCCAATGCACGGGCTAAACAAATTGAGGACCTCCAAGAACAACTAGGCTCGGCCATCGCTTAACGGGATACCCTTGGCAAGGAGCTCAAAATAACGAGGTCCAGGCTGGAAGTAACCTTGGCCGATGCCGATGAGATGGTGGCCCAATAAAAAGCCGATGTTGAAGCAGTCGAGGCCTGCCTGAAGACTACTGATGAGTACGTGAGGTGGCTATCCCGGAGGGAGACACTCGAAGAGATCCATGCCCGAGGTTTTGACCTATCTACCAATATCGAGGAGGAAAAAAGACTTGAGGTCGAGGCCAAGAAGCTAGCTGAACCCCGAGGTGAAGAGGGCTTCGAGGGCTCTAAAGAATATTCCGGAAAATATAATTTTTTTCCCTTTTGGCAATTTATAAGTCTATTATCTTAGCATTTTTTTACAATTGCAAATATTTCTAATGCCTTAGCACAGAATAAAACATAGTAATAAGTCATTTTTCGGGGGCCCGAACAAAACCTGTTCTCGATGCAATTTTTGCTCAAAACTTGTGAAAACTCGGAATGACTTAAAATTTCCCCAAGATGCTTGCTTAAATATTTTTATACTATGCCTTTGTCGAGGGTAACCTTTGAACAGGTTTAGAATTTTGTTGAAGGCCTTACGTTTTGATGACTAGGCATTGATAAGTGGCATCGGCATTTTTTAGTCCGAACGTCATTACGTTATAACAATAGGTGTCGAATTTAGTGGTGAAGGAGGTTTCTTCTTGATCGACCGGATCCATCCTGATTTGGTTATACCCGGAGTAGGAGTCGAGAAAGCTGAGTATCTCGTGCTCGGCTGTTGCATCGATCATGCGATCGATGTTAGGTAAAGGAAAGAATCCTTGGGGCATGCCTTGTTCAAGTCTTTGTAATATACACATATTCTAAATTTATTTCCCTTTTTAGGCACTACTACTACGTTAGCCGACCAATCTGGGTACTTAACTTCCCGAATGGAACCTATTCTAAGGAGTTTGGATACCTCGTCTTTGATGAACACATGCTTGACTTCGGACTGAGGCCTCTTTTTTTGTTTGACCGGGTGGAACTTTAGATCCAAACTTAGCTTATGAGTGGTTACTTCTGGCAGGATCCCTGTCATAGCTAGATGGGACCAAGCAAAATAGTCTGCGTTAGCTATAAGTAATTTAATGAGTTTTTTCCTGAGCTCAGGAGTCAACCCCGTGCCCAGGTTTACCTTTTGATCGGGCAAGTTCTTGATCAATATGACTTTCTCCAGCTCCTCGACCGTCGACTTGGTGGCAACGGAATCTTCAGGGGCGATGAACGACCTTGGAACTCTGTAATCATCATCCTCGCCTGACTCTTGCTTCTTCGGTTCGGTCGGGGTCGGTGTCAGTGATTGCTATTTAGTTTCT